GATAGAGACGCGTGGAGCTTCGAGTGCCAAGCTCTGCGTAAGACTGTTTGGCGACTGAAATGGCGCTTAAAGAATGATCCTTGGATCTCCACGAGCGAGAACTCTAACAGTAACTAGGTGTCACGAACGTAAATCTAGATCGTAATTAGACGTCGTGTGGCTGACTCAGGCTTGACATCAAATTTTTGCTACAGGAAGTGCTTCTTCCCCTTGAAATGCCTCAATCCCGTGCAAGAGGGGACTTCTTGCTCAACAGCTCTCTTCTCATCTCCTGGCATAGGATCTAGGAAAGAGTAAGTAGGAGCTATTTTTTCTGTAGTGGAAAAATACTTGCTATCCTAGTCTAGTGAGATCAGAGGAGTACTGGCTATAACTTAGTGCAGCTCGTGTATGCTCCTCTACCGTCACATTACCATATTTTGGAAATATATGACAGTAGCAAATAACAAGTACTCATCATCCTTATAATTGGGCAGTCTTAAAAGTCGTCTTCATATAGTGAGTCTTCGATCAATAAAAATAAACTTTCTTAAATGTTGAAATTGTCCATCTTTTGGTGTCATTGATCTGCGAGAGTCAGTTTGAAGTTCGCCAGATGAAGTCTCAAACAAATTGAGTTAAAGTTCTTACTTAATTTAGAGACTTAGTGAATTTTGCCAAGTGATTTTGGCGAGGTTCACTATGTAAGGCCTCAAACAAATTAAGTTTTGATTTTTTCCACTTGGAGACTTAGTGAAATTCACTATGGTGCTCTGACGAGATTCTCCCTAGTTGTGAAATTGAGGGAGGTTCACTTACTTAAGAAACAATCATCTGGGCGAAACTCAGTAAGTCAGTTTAGGCAAGGCTCAGTGAGTTAGTTGGGCGAGGCTCAGCCTAAAGACATAAAAATTAGGTCTTTGATTTGCGTGCCTAAGATGGCGGCGAAGTTCATTCGAAGCAGGATTCCTGGCGAAGTTTAAAGCTGGAATCTCTGGTAAAGTTGAAAGCTAAAAATTTTGGCGGAGCTTAATAATGAGATCTTCAGCGAAATACTCGGTGAAGTTCAAGATGAAGAATCATCAGCGAAGTTCGAGGGTTTAGCCTATAAATAGACTGCTTGCCTCCTCCTTCTCCACTTTGATTTAAAAATTCTCCACTTTTATTCGAACCCTAGTTTTCTTAAAATCCTCAAAGTTCATCATCTATGACTCCAATTTGTGCTATCTCCAGGGGAAGAGGTTCCGCTCGAAGAGCTCGTCGGCCAAGGGTTGAAGAGGTGCCGGTGCATTTGGAGATAACTGTGAATAAGCTTC